TTGTTTGTGTTAAAATGTTTGTGACGAATCCACCCTGAGAATAATGAGAGGAATATACCTGCAACTAAATTTACTGAAGTAATCTAATATGGAAAAACAACAACGAACTTATACCTATAGAGGAAACCTGATACACGCTCCCATGTAGTTGGGTTCTGGCTACCCGAGCTGGTAAGAGAATAACCCGTAGCAAATCAAGAAACGTCTAAAATCCGACGTATGGAAATAATTAAAAATCCGTGGGTATTGCGAACCATTTGCCATTTCAGTGTTTCCGAAAGCCAATTATGTTCGTTTACGGTTTAATGTGAACACAGAAATGCAACCATTTCGTCTGGAGCAAATCAAGCCGAACTTGAACGTGACCATGTAAAAAATATCACCGCGTGAAGACTTCAAAGGCAAAGTTTTAGGTTAAGTTCGCCATTATTCCATGACCGTTCCATATGGTTTTAAGAAAAAAATCAAAAGTTTATTCAGTAGCGCAGAAAAAAATTATTGTTACAATAAATAAAAACATATACGGGTAATGTATTTATTAATAGCCTAATTAATACAAAGTAACTTCTATAATACGAGTGGCACAAAAGTCGTGTATGATACCTGTAACGTTTTAATTAAATCACCTCGTATACGAAAAAGTAACAATGGAAGTTATTCAGAAAATTATTCCCCACATTTCTACCTGCACGAATTTTTTTCTGCCATGTCCCGTTTGGTTGCCATCCAGCCAACTTTGTTTTTTTTTTTTTTAAATGGAACATCCTACAGGTGATTGCATCTACTGGTGAAAATTATGATTTTTTTTACCTATTTAAAATGTTCACCTATTTTCAACTGCTTCCGAGATGATGACAGCTGAAGAATTAAAAAAAAACTCACATTTTCGAAACATTGCCCTTTTCTCTTTAAAATATTAGGAATTTATGGTTGTGGAGGGACATTTCACTCAAAGTCAAGTCTTATCCTAATTTTGCGTGCAAGCATTAATTTGGAAGAAGCTGCTCTAGTCAAACAATGAACTTACTGTTTACGAACCGAGTGCGATTTTTCAGTAATTTCATTGTGCGATATATAGGTAAACAAGAATTTATGTGATTCCAGAGATTTCTCGACTAAATGTTTTTATATAATATAAACCGCGGAGTTTGAAGGTCACGGAGTTATGTAAAAGTTTGTTTTTCGATGTCAAGCAAAACAAAGAGTGATTTTTTTAGAACATTCCATCGCTTTTTATTTGGGAATTAGACGAGGTATAATAATGTTGACTTCGCCAATGGGCTTTATATTCAAAATCAAATTTCAAGAAATATATAGAGTAGTTATTCTATGGTAGATAAACGACAGCAAACAGCCAAAATAGAGAAAGTCATTCAAATGTTGCTGGACTTGAAGAAAAATATCGAAGACAAAATATAAGAAGAAAAAGCCCGAAGACACGAAAACAGGACCGGCTTGCAGCACTTTTATAACAACAAGAAGATCGGAGATAGAAAAATAAAAGAGAAAGACCTCTTGAGAGAAAAAAAAAAATAGAAGCCTTGCAGCTTTTTTTTCAAGAAGATTGGAGATCAGAAGGGAAACAAGAAGAGGAAGAATGCAGATAAAAAACAGAGACAAGAAGAAGCTCGAAGACAAGAAAACAGGACCACCTTGCAGTGCTTTCACAACAACAAGAAGATCGGAGATCAGAAACAATAAGAGGAAGACCTAGAACAGATTAAAAAAAAAAACAAGGAAAACAAGCACAAAGACAAGAAGAACAAGCCGGCTGACCATTCTTTTAGTTCCCGTGACGTCAGTCCATGGGAAGAAGAAACACGCAGGCGTAAGAGTATTTTGGATGAACAGGAAGGCATCCTAGAGGAGATTCACTTGACAGGAAGAGATATTTTAAGCATGTGGAAATTATTTTCGACGACATGGTTTTAAGGACCGTGGAAAGACCAAACTGTTGGTAGTAAGGAGTTGGGGAATAACAGATGGAATCGTTAAGGATATTACTGGAGATATAGACGTAGAAGAGAAGGAAGTGCATCTTCGCAGGGTGGAGGATTATCACATTTCTGCCATTAAAATGTCGCTAGTAACAAGCAGACTTATCAAAAATTATGAATTATTTGGAATAAACTTTTTGTAATCATTAATGTTCAAATTTTTCAACTCGACATTATTTGGCACTTCAATAATTTTCATTTCAAAATTATGTCGAATCTTTATCAAAATGTGTAGTTCTGACGGACCAAAAAACAAATTGGGAGTTTCAGTGTGAGGCACTACTGTTTCAATAGAAAAATGGTTTTAAAAAATTCTTGGTTCGTTTTGCCTTGAGTTTTCATTAATTCAATATCGTCGTCAAACTTCTCTTTAACTCTTTCAACTAAAAGTCGGTCGCTTCTCCGCCAATTTCGCGATATCTTTTATATACTGATGTTGTGGAATATCCTTTTGCCTTTTGGAAACCCTGCTTCTGCTTCAATTCACTAAATAACTGTTATGGGCCCCATACACTACGTTCTTTTTCGTCGGTTTTCATCGCCGCGATGAAACACGTCGTTCCAAAACCGAAGTGTGTGGTAGAAAACCGTCGTGTTTTTCTACCACATACTTCGGTTTTGGAACGACGTGTTTCATCGCGGCGATGAAAACCGACGAGAAAGAACGTAGTGTATGGGGCCCTTCAGTGCTTCTTTTCCAAAATCGAATTATTTTTTATTCGACGATATTACACTATTTTTTTCTTTAGGTTTATCTATTGTTTTATTGATTGTGTACAAAAGCATGATACATGATATTTAATTTCAGATGCGATTAAATCAAGCTCGCCTATTCTGGAGTGAAATATTGAACTGTTCCGAGATATAGTTTTAATATTATTTTCCATATTATTGCTCATGCATTGACATACTTTTTGTTTTTTACAACGTCTTTGGCAAAATACGAATTTTTGAACGTCAAATGGAATTATTGTTCGCGATGGCCGTCTTTGAGTTGTATTCGTTGGAAGAACACCAGGACTAATTTTCGCGTATTTTGTTTTGTAGGAAGTAATATTTTTGGAACTGGTATAGTACGTTTGGTAGCAGTTTTCATACCAATGTAAATAATCTTGTTTTTTTATGTCATTGAAGTTCAAAAAAATATGCAAGCCAAGAGCATCCTTGCCTTTACATACATATCCATGCGGATTTTTGTACATTGAATCAACTTTTGTTTGGATATTTGCTTTGATGTTAATAACGTTCCGGCTTCTTGACAAATTACGCATAATTGAAAATTTAAAACTTATTCCTTATTTTTTGCAGCTATTTTAGTAAAGGATTTCAATTTGATCATCAACTCAACTTCGCTTATCGGAACTGGTACTGCTTTTAATATCATTTAAAATCTATACAAAAAAATCATATATTAAAATAGAAACAACATATTATTATTGAACTTTTTTACCCCAAAATTTATATTATATTAATCCAAAGCCACACAAACTATTATTAGTGAAACATACAAAACAGCGAGCAAAAAAGCATTTCAGGGTTAAAAACTAGTCAACTTAACAAACTCAAACAGAACTAATAATAATTGGTACAAGACACTTCAAAATCCGGACATAGGTGATATTACTACATTTAAACAATGTTTTTTTAGCAGCCTTACATTCCATGTTCATATTCACATGACTTCACAATTTGCTAAGTTTAAAAAAAGAAACTATCCATCAGATTAGGCGATTCTCAGAATACCAATGTATTCCCTGATGACGTTCATAAAAGGTGGTTTTCTGATAAACCAAATGGTTTTCAACCAACGACGAGGCGAACGATAACATAAAAATGAGTTTTCAGGACAAGCGTCTTAGAAAAAAAATAGTTGCTAATAAAAATATTAAAACCTGATTTTGGCAGTTTTATAATATATTTTTGGCATTTTTTGCAAAATTCAACACCACTACCCCGGCACCGTATGATTTTTGGACGACCTGTTGAATTTGCATTCTTGGGGTATTAGAAATAATAAAAAGTAGTCCTTACATTTCAGCAATGAAGTGCAAACAAAAATCTGTTTCAAGAGACTTCTGCGAGCATTTAAATTCTACCTACTAATATTCACTAATTTCATTTCTTGATAATGCAAGCAATTTAAAATATTTATAAAGTGCCCATCATCTATTGGGTTTTTGAACTTACAATTGGTAGATAAGTGCTTATATGTATAAATTAATTGAAACACACCATGTATATGTAACCTAAAAAATGGGCTGTTCTTTAGTTTAATTAAGTAATGAAAATGGTAATTTGGTGCAATTATAAATCTGTAAGAAATAATAATCCAGGCTATTCTACTTAATAACCCATCATGTTTTTTTTTTTATCGCAACATATTTAATAATATAACATACTAACACCTTTAACTTTACCTTGTAACATCTGCTTCCTTTTCCTTGTAGGTATACACTCAGGGTTGCAACACTGATATTATACCTGCTATAGTTTTGAAAAAGTGGGTTTATTTTAACGCCCTTATATACTAAACACTTTGGCATGTGCCTACTTATTGTCATCATAAAGTTATTTTCAGCTCCTTTTCAATCTGATGATTTTATACCTACAATATAAGCATAAAAGTAATAAGCTGTCTAGTCTGAGCCAAGCAGGTGAACAATAATGGATAAATGATGAAGCATTTTAAAATAGGTCCAGACAGAAGTTTTCTCCTAAAACTTTTGTTTCATACTTTATTAAATGCCAGTCAGAAATTGAGTTATTGATGTGACCTTACTTACTTAGCTTTATCATCATTGATGTATTCTTGAAAATCTCTCTCAGAAAAGTAGGTACCTAATCATAGCCAAACTATCCGATTTGTTTTAAACAGAAACCTCCTCAAGCTAATGGTAATATGACTTCATTGAAAATAAACCTGCTTTTAAAATAATTCCTAGACTCGGAACCTGCTTGCGATTTTTATATAAAAATAACTGACATTTTTTTATTTATTTATAGGAGCTCACGTAAATCCAGCAGTTACCATAGCGATGGGGGCAATCAAAAGGATTTCGCTTCTGAGAACCTGCATGTTCATCGTTTCTCAGTGCGGAGGTGCTATTGCTGGAGCTGCATTTTTATATGGGTAAGAATAAAATTGTAATTGGGTTTTCAATATTATTTTTTACCCTATGATTATAGCAACTTTTTAAAAGTGGTTTTGAAATTTGAAATAACATGGTATAATTAAAAATACTGCAGTGTTTGCTAACGCTTTTAGAAGCAACCAGTTGAAACAAAATTTAATTTCAATATGAATGCTTGGGATCGAAATTGTCGATAAATATTATAATTAAAATTGGAAAGGTTAACTGAGAATTTATTCCAATTGACCTATATGGTAATAATGGGTATCCTGGACGTGGATGTCTGAAAACATGTACGCACATACATGAACGCGCAAACAAAAACATCAATGTGTATGCAAAATGCCGTTGCGTTTTTGAATGTGCAATCGCTAGAAATTTTGTATGCACACTCGGAACACTGTAGCCAGAATAGCAAGATTACAGTTTTGATAGTTTTGTGCGAGCGTCTGCACAAAGGCGTCATGCGCGTTTTTGTTTGCACGTTGATGTATGCGCGTATATGTATCAAGCCATCCACGCGCCGTGTGTAACCTCCTTTAGGCAACTTTATATTGTTATCAGGAACAATATTGGTATATCAAAAGACCCAGAAAATATGCGTTTTGAGATGCTGTAACTTGCTTGTCAATCATTATTTTGCAAATCACAATAACTTATTAAATTTTTTATCTCGACTACTACAGTTGAAGATCTAGACCCCATTTGAGCTTTATGCTTTACCTATATCATTTTATTTATATGTTTTTTACAGCTAATTGAAATGACATTTTTCAAATTTGAATGACTAGAATATTGATTTAGTTCCTCGGCAGAGTACAAAATAACTATACAAAAGCATCGCCTAGTTAGAACTTAATGATATCATTCAAATACAATACAGTCAGATAAACTGAGCAATATACAGGGTGGCCCATCGTCCGAAAACAGTCCAGCAAGGTTTTGGGCTTTGTATATGAAAATTTAAAAAAATCCTCGGACCCGTATAATTTTGTTTTCAGGGAAACATATTTACACATTGATTACATCACAGTAACTTCAACCCCTTAGCGGGGGTGGCATTCACCCTTATTTTTTCAAATGGGAAGGGGTATGTTGTGATACATCTTTTGAGAGGGCATCAAATTTTCTTTAAAATGGCGCTTCGTTATTTAAATTTGAGCTACGCGTCGCCGAGCAATGGAATTTCAAACATTTTACTGCATCTCTTATTTACAAATAGGTTCGTGAACAAAAAATCGTTTTTAAGCTAACAAATATTAGTCGACAATTCAACTTTATCTTCGGTGAAGTAGTTGATGTGGATAGTTCAATATTTCTGTGATTTTCTTTGGGGTACATTCCATAAAAAATGGTTTATTCTATTGCGGAGAAAGTGGAAATTATTGAATTGTATTTTATGAGTTTACGAAAACTTTCCAATATATTATACTAATTACCTAAGTACTGTTTCTCATTTTAAATTTAAACTATTTATATATATATATATATATATATATATATATATATATATATATATATATATATATATATATATATATATATATATATATATATATATATATATATTGTTTTTTTTTTCTATTTTAGACTGTTCATTCGTTTTTTCCTAATTATTTATTGTTCTCCATAGGTAATATTGAAAGACCTTGTTGGGTGCATATTAACCAAATTAGTTGCTAATCTTTTTTTATCATAGCTTTTTATCTATTTGTTGAGAAATATGAAGCTATCACTTGTCAGATATTTTTGTTTTTCTATTGTTCTTGCTTTTTTTTACTCTGAGTGTTTTTATATGTAGATACTTAATTCGTAATTTTAATAATGAATAGATTTAAGTGTTTTAAATTAAGTTTGCTTTGTCAATAAGATTTAGAGTTTCTTGGACAATAAAGCATGTGTACTACTACTACTACTACTACTACTACTACTATTAACAATCAATGTGCAAGAGTAACGGCAACTTTGTTCAATGAGAGGCATGCAGAAAGAAACGTGCATCATGGTGACGTCCTAGAACTAGTAGCAAAATTCCGGCAAACTGGTTCAGTGACAAACAGAAAACGGAATATTGAAAATCCAGTGAGAAATGAGGCAGTAGAAGTAGCTGTTGGTCAAGTTACTATGGACCCTAGATTGAGTACAGGGCCGTTCCTGGCGAGCGTGAAGTGCGTGCGTGCACGAAGGCGCAAAATTTCAGGGGCGCAAAATCGACTGTCATTCAGTATTTTTTATAACAGGTAAAAAAAATAAAATTTTCACTTATTTTATCATTTGAAAATGTCTAAAAATATTACCAAGCGAAGCTTTTGCCTTAATAGCACAATAGCACGATAATGTAGTCTTCCACATCAAAGCACCAGTTTGCGCCCTAATTTGCGGGCGCCATTTGACACTTTTCGTCCCGCCCGGTCGCAAAGTGTCACCGTGATGTAGGTGACGTAGGCGTCAAAAATTTAACCAATATACTGTCACAAATTTGGTTATTTTTACACTTCAAAACGATTAAAACGAACCAAAATGATCAAATTGCATGTTTGGTTGGTAAATGCAGTTTCTACTGGTTCTTTACGAATAACCACTAGTCACCAGCCACCAGGCGCAAATGATGGTTGAGGTCCTTCCCTTCGCGTGGTTTCAAAGCTCTCGGCTGCGCCTCGTGCTTTAATTTCCACTCGGCGGGCCGCAAACACCCTAATTGCGCCCTTGGTACCATCGTCACGAAAAGTATCCGGGACAAAAATAATTCATATTAATCTCCTGGACTAGTTCTACCGTCATTTATTTCAATGCATTCAATTCATAGTTTGGCAAATATTTGACACTAAAAATCATATAATAGTATCAGAGCTAATATGATGCTGTCCAGGTACTTTTGGTGACGATGGTACATAAGTAACTATTTTGAAACATTTATTTTTTTTAACATTAGAATATTTCTGTTACGTTACCCACAATACAAGTAGGTACAGTCGTGAGCATAAAAAGTGACTGACAGGTCTTATCATTTTTCACTATTTTGGGTGAGTCAGTCTTTTCTCTACAATGGAATTTTTGTCAAATATGACAATCTCTGTCATTGCCGTAGGTATAGCTGGTGAGCTCGTTTTACAATAGGAAAAATCGGGTGTCCCACTTTCAATGCTCACTGTACCTACTAGGTAAAGTTCGTTTCACCAGGGTTCATACTTAACCTTGAAACTCGAAAAAAAAAAGGGTTGTCGTAAATTATTTCATATGACACATTCAATTTTTTTGACAAATTAAAATAAATGACTTCTGGTTTAAGAACCGACGAACGTTTTTGACGTTATTGATTTGTTTCAGTCAATTTCTATTTGTTAAACAAGGAAGGCAAATGCTGCTGGCAAGTACAAACCCTGGTCAAACAAACTTTATATTGAACTTCGTTGACCAGTCAGAAACAACTACTCCGAGGGCAAATACCCCTACCGGCGTTGAACTACACTGATTGGTCTGAGCTTTCGTTGGCAATGAAAATTGTTAGAAAGATTTTTTTTCAGATAATGACCAACGTGAATACAGGAACACAACGGTCCCTGTTTGGGAATCGACCCACTGAGCAGTGGACCCAGACTTCCCGTGCCAATCCTTGACGCGTTTCGTCCTTGTTAGGACTCATCAGAAGGACATAGGCTGAAGCTCCCTGTTTGTGGGTCCACTGCTCAGTGGGTCGATTCCCAAACAGGGACCGTTGTGTTCCTGTATTCACGTTGGTCATTACCTGAAAAAAAATCTTTCTAACAATTTTCATTGCCAACGAAAGCTCAGACCAATCAGTGTAGTTCAACGCCGGTAGGGGTATTTGTCCTCGGAGTAGTTGTTTCTGACTGGTCAACGAAGTTCAATTTTGCTTGGACAGGGAGCTTCAGCCTATGTCCTTCTGATGAGTCCTAACAAGGACGAAACGCGCCAAGGATTGGCATGGGAAGTCTGGGTCCACTGCTCAGTGGGTCGATTCTCAAACAGGGACCGTTGTGTTCCTGTATTCACGTTGGTCATTATCTGAAAAAAAAATCTTTCTAACAAACTTTATATTGTTTGTTTATTCTATTTACGTTAATTTTATTCTGTTTTAATTTTCTTTGTGCACTGATTTTTAGTTCCTATTAGTTATTATATGTATTTCATAAATAATCAAGTGAATAATCGTCGTAATGATATACCTATTGATTATAAGTACAGTTTGTATCGTTATTTTCTGTTTTTTCTTTTGATATCTCTTCTATTGAAATATTTTTTGTAATTTTGTTGGTTTCGGTAATAAATATTTTTATTTACGACTGACATATAATGTGAGTATTATATTTGTGATTTTGGCAGTATAATGCCATATATTATTCCCGCAGGGATTAATGGTCATTATTCCCGCTTGCACACCAATCAAAAAATTTCTCAAATTAAATAAGTAGTACCATGGAAACAATATACCTGAACAAACTCAAAAGCGTAAGTGTCAAACGCGTAGTGCTTGTGTATTTGTATTGAGATGGATGAACAAAGAGCGTTATTGGAATGTTTGTCGAAATGTTACTCCCTCGCCACTAATGCGGCTCAGTTCGTAAATATTCCTCGGGAATAATAGCTATCATTATTGACTCGTGGTATAATCTACTATTAATTGCATCCATATAGGTAATCTTGACATTACTGACTTTTAAAAAATTTGGAAGTGTCACATTACCTGCTCTACTTTCCTCTTCGATTTCCCTCACAATGAGAACATGTCAGTGTCATTCGCTGTTTTGACGTTTTTACGTCAAAACAGCGAATGACACATTTTGGCATGTTTGTTTATTTTTTTATCCCATTTTGACGTTTAAAAATGACTTTATTGAACGCATAACAATAAAGGTAAGTAGACGTTAATCACCTCACTGATTTAAAAACATTTCAACTCACTCTCGGCATTTTAAGTCACTCTGCCCAACTAAACATCTGACACCCCAGTGATTTAAAATATTTTTAACTCACTCTC